GAGGCAGGTGTCCTTCAGAAGCTGCCAGTGCTGTATTTATCGCAGAGCATTCCAGCTGCTCTTTTCAAGCTTCAGCCCAAAGGTGTCTTTCAACATTTGGCTGGTGACACTGAAAGAACAGTGGTCCCCAAGGGCCTGAATCACCTCAGTGTTCTGCTGAATTGAGGACTTTTGTTTCTGAAGCTGCTTCATCCAAGTCAATGGCAGAAGGATGAAGTGGATTATAAATCTGTTCCCATGGGACTTGTTAGTGCAGGGTAAGGATTTTAGAAATCTGAGGGAGGAAAATAGCATTTTCCACATGTACCTGTAGACTTTAGCTGGCAGCATATATATCTTCATGCATTTAGGGGACAGCCACAACTGATACCAGTGTATCTATTTATCCATAGAAATAGAGAACAATGCCATGAACCTGTTACCAAATGATTTTAAAATCTGGCTATTAGCTGATACATTAGTCAGCTGTGTGTTTGTCAATTTCAAATCGATCCCAAGGTGTGTGCAAGCAGCATTTTTGAAATATTACTTATTTTCAGGAGATGATTGTAGAAGTCTTAATAAAGCAGGTCAGTTGTGTTACAGCACAGGTCTCCTGTATAATTGTTTCTTTTCTACACAAAGGAATCATACATTGATCATCCCAACTCTATGTTTGTCAAAAGCTGTGATAACAGTGTTGGAAAAGGTTGGGCAGTGCTTCAAATCTAAAATGAAAATAGTTGAAATGAAATAAAACTTGAAGAAGTTGAATTCTACTATGAGACAATAATAAGGTGTAAGAATATGGAAAACAATGTATAATATAGGAGTTCATGGCATTTTGTACTGTTTCTTCACTCCAGCCAGTGTTTGGAAATAAAGTAGTATAAAAATTATTATCCCAAAGGTATGCTGTAGATAACATGATATAATTTTGTTAAAAATTCCCTTTAACCTTGAGTCATCTTATGGATATTCTACTCAGGTTTGAAGATGACCAAAAGCAAGTAGACTATAGAAAGTTTATTCATGCACTGAACTGGAGAGAGAATCAAATCCGTGTTTTCAAGGAGGAAAAGGAGCCGCCCAAGGTAAAACCAGTGGCTGAATAGAATTTCTCCAACTTTAACATGACTGTTTTAGCCAACACACACTACAACATCTTTTCATATTTGTGTATTTGTACTTGTTTTCATAAAGTAATTATTTTTTAAATAGGTTTAATAGGGAAGTTTAGGATGAAGTAGGGAAGTCAGGCAGGGATGAGAAGGTGTCTAGTAAGTATCACATCTCTGGGACATTTCATAGAACAAAAAAGAAAAAGAGAAGGGGAAGCAGGTGTATTTATCCATGGACAATGAGTACTGCTTCCCCCACAAATATCATTGTCACATATCAAATGATCTGTTCTCTTGCTGAGGTAGTCAGAAAATACTTTAAGCTCCACTGACACATATGCAGAAAATAGCTCTGCATTTTGTAGAACTCCTCAGAAACCTGCACATAACACACCACATCTCTGGAAGGCGTGCACAGAGAGAACTGATGGATCAGCTTTGTATATCTTCAGCCTGCTACTTAGGGTAAATAAAAATGCAGTATCAACAAACTGCAGAGACTAATCTGATCTTGCCATCTTGTGCTGAGTGGAACATTTTAAAATAGAAGGTTCATAAGGCAATTATGCTGAATTTTAAATACTTTGTAACAGATAAATCCAAAGGCCTTCTGCCAACACATTGTTTTGCTGTTCTGGCCAGGCCAATGTATTGTACAGAATGTGTTTGATCCCGTTCAGACCATTTAGAAACACAGCATTCCTTTAAATTCAAGTTCACTCATGGCATGGTTTAAACCAATATTCCTCAGGCACTCCTGAGAGTGCTTCAGACTCCTCACTCCTGCCTGACTTACCAAGTCTTTCTTCTGTAGCATCTCAGACTGTTGGTGGTGTCTAATGAGGGCCCAGGGCTGTTGGTCTGCTCTGCTTTCCATGGTTGATTATTTTCGCTTTGTCTTTGTGAAGAGTTTTTCTGTCTTGTACAGATAAAATCAAAGCCCTTCCACATGTTTTATTCAGCAGTCCTGATGATCATGGTGTTTATTAGGCTCTGTTGAAGGAGTAGTTTTTGTTTTTACAGATGAATTCTGTGCTTAAGTGATAATTAAATATTTTATATTTTAAGAGAGATAACTACAAAATGGAAAAAATCAGAGACAGGAAAAGTTTTAAATCATGTTCAGCTTTAGAATTCAATTGTCATTCTGTGTGTGACTTACCACAAATTAATAGCAGTATTTTGAGGCTACAGTACCTGTATTTGACAGATAGATTTCAGCAGCAGAGTTGTGCTTGTTCTGCTGGCTTTGTTTTTTATTCCTTTTCTTTAATCTCATTATTTTGTATATGTTTTTTGGTGTTGAGACATAGATGGCTTTCAAGAATTTGAAGTATTAGGATTTTAATGACGAAAATTTAGCATTATTTAATTTAAAAATGTCTGCAAAAGGGTTAATGATAGAAATTATTTTAAATAAAATATATTGCAGCATTCATAAGAATGTGCATGTTGTAATCTTTTAATAGGATGTGCTGTATAAAGACCAAATTTTTCACAGATTTGTCTGAGGAACTGAAGCAGCTCATTCAATCTTATGTTGGCCATCTTGTAATGGTTCTTGTTTTCATTATTGCATACTAAGATATTCTCTGGGTTACTAATTTCAGAGGGCAGATATCTGGAACCAACTGCCACGATCCCCTCCTGTGACTGGGATCAGATACCCTCCTCTTCTGGATGATCTGTTTGGCAAGGAAGAATAATCTCATCTGTGCAAAGCACTGATTTAAGATTGGTGATTCAGCTCTGAGGATTACTTAGAGAGATACAGAAAACATTTCTTGTAAAATAAGAAAAAATAAAATACAGGTTTTATTGCATTTAATTAGTTGCCCCAACAGAGATGTATACTTGTGTGTTTTTGGAACTCTTTCTAAATCAACAGCACTCTGTCATACTTACACAGGCACAATTAAAACTAGATCCTCTAATCTCTCTCTGGTTGCATGGAGAATTTGCAAGTATTGAGAAATCTTTGAGTCAAACAGTGCAAAATCTGACTGACCCTGCTTTGTTCTGCAAACAAACGTTGTTGGATGACCTCTTAAAATTGGGTTGGACTGTGTTAGCACAATAATGCCATTCCATTCACGTTTCCTCCCTTGCTCTTCAGCTCAGAGCTGTGGTTTTGCTCTATCCCCGTGGTGATGCTCGAGTGCTGTTCATGTCAAAGTGGGTTATTTTGTGGAGGAAATGCCACAAGGTTTTTGCACACTATAAAGCTGCTCTGGTATCAGAGATAATTATAGCCTTCCAAAGTGGAAGCAAATGTTTTGCAGGCACGGCACAGAAGCCTTTGAAAATTCATGGATGCCCTTCTCTTTCTCCATGGTTTAATGGAGTTCCTGTTAGCATTTTTGTATCTTTTTAAGCTTATTCCAGCTCAAAGCCATGATTAGATCTGGATTTACTCTGTGCTTTTGTGAGAGGAGTAATTCCCCCACTCTGAAGAATGGAAGAGCTGATGTGAAGGTGGAGCTGTTTCATCCACAAGATTCCACTGGCGAAGGGGAAGAGGTGTGAGCCAGTGCACCTCTTCTGGTGCCTGGGAAGACTTAGAAACCTGTTTTTTCTTTAATCTGAAATTACAATTTTGAGGAGGAATTGTTTGATTTAGAAAGATGAGAATTCAATGTATCTAAATCCCCAAACTGAGGGAAAGACAATAGTAATTTTTTGGAAACTTGGAGATCCCCCTTTCAATTATGATTCTATATAGAAATACCTTCCTACACTTTTGCATGGTAATGTAAATTAAATTCTTATTATTTGTACCATATGGCAAAATATGAAGCTTTTGAAAGCTCTTTGCCCTTTATTGCAGTGAGAAAGGTCTTGAGACAAGGCATAATTATGTTGCTGCTGCTGAGGAGGGGTAGCAATGAAATGGGCAAGGAATGTCTGTGTCCAGAGCTCAAAATTAAAAAGGCGAAAACGTAAAGTGCTCCAAGTTGTAGACAAGACCATGAATTGATTTTTGATCCAAAAGAGGAAAATGGTTCCTCATATGACAAGAAATATCTGACCACAGGGACAGTGTCAGGATAAAAACCAGCAATTTGTGTTTGAAGCCAGTTTGGTGAAAGCTGGATATTTTTACAACATGCCACCAAGACTGAGATTGGTACTAAATTAATGCAATTTACAGAAGGATTTATTTCAGTTGTGGAAATCTTGTACAGCTGAGAGCTTCCAAGAAAAGGGGACTCTGAACATGGAGAACCTCTCAAGTAGCTTCTAGAAAAGATCAATTCACTTTAGTTTGTTTCTCATTATGTGTATGAGACAAAAGAAGCATTCTTAAATAAAAAAAATTAGTTCAAGAAATATGATATTTTTTAATTTCATGTGGAACCATGTGCATAGGTCTATTCAGTCATGGTCTGTCATTGTCTGGTCATGGTCAAGAAAGGAGACTGCAAACTGGAATCAGTGCAGAGAAGAGCAGGAAAGGTGACCAAGAGAATGGAGATAAGAAAGGTGACTGAAAGAGCATGACTTATTTAGTGTAATAAAATGAAAACTCAGATTGAATGAATATCCTTTCTCTCTGTAAATACATTGTTGCCAGGTGAGGAAAATTATCTGGTTCAGGTAAGAACATTGGTGTCTTAAGGAAAAAATGGGTATAATTTGCCATGAATAAATTAAACCTGGACAACAAAAGGTGGTTTCTCACTTCTAAAACAATGAGGGTCTCAAGCTGCTCCCCAAGACTGATGTGTTCTTCATTGCTTGTCACTGTGAGCAGTGTGTCATATGCTGTGGTCGGACATGCTATAGGCAGTTTTCACCAGGTTTTCTCTCTTACAAGCAGCAGGGCTTCCAGAATGGAAAGCTCTGGCCAATGAGCAGCCCAATAATCCTCTTTGTATAATGTGACTTACAGCATATGCTGCCCAGAATATTTCAACCTCTCCTCTAATCCTGCCACCAGCTTCTTCTCTCTTTTCACATTGCTGATGAGGGGCCTGAATGAAGACAATACCACAGGGTTATGTTTCAAGATGGCAGGAGGCCACGGCTTTAAAGCACGCATGGCACAGAGGGGAAGGCAGCCCCCACAGTTGCCATTAATCTCAGCTCTGGATCTCTGCAGGGCAGCCAAGGGTATCTCCTTTCCACAAGTGTCTGCGCTGGCCCGGCAGGGCGGAGGGATTCACGTTACAGCCCCGGCTCCCCGTCCCTCGGCTGGGCTCTGCTGCGTGCTCAGTGTTAATGTTTGCTTCCTCAGCCTGGCATTTGGGAAGAAGAGGCTCCGAGTTCTCTAGAATAGCTGCTGCTGCTGGCAAGGAAATGGCTGCAAACAGGTTGGCTCAGAGTGCCTGGGTGGTCACCTGCACCTGGCCCCCCTCGGACATGGGCAGCCACGGGCATCTGCTGTGGGCAAAAATGGATATTCTTCACCAGGCAAATATTTTCTTCATCATCTGCCAGCTACTGTATTTTTCCAGGTCAAGCCATTTGCATCAGCATCAGGCAGATGTTCATCTGTATAAATGAAAATCGTCCTGCATTTGTTCCTCATGTGCCAGTGTGAGTTCATCCTACTTCATGGAAAAAGTTTGGGCTCAGTTGTCTCCTGTGTCTGCTCTCTCTGTTTTGTCCTTTTAGCCCAGGAGACATCGCTGCCTCTCAAAAGAAAACTTGCAGTGGGAAAGCTGCAGGGATACTAATTCCTCAATAACCAAAATATTGGATGTTTTCAGTCACTTGACTGCATTCAGAGAGCAGCAGTCCATGTATCATCAGCAGTAATTCACCAGGTGTGTCCTTGCTGGGCCCTTCTAAGTGTTCCTGTGGTTTGAGACGTGCAAGTAATAGAAGAATTTTCCAGTTTTTAACATTTTGTGATTTGGTGTCATGGAGGGAAACATTAGTTTTTTAAGCAATAATGTCCTGTACCCTCAGCAACTGAACTGCATGTTCACTTGCAGAATTTCTTCCTCTTCAAGGCTGTTTAACCATGAAGCTGCAGTACGATGAGAAAGACAGAATAGTGGCTTGTTTGTGAAGAATTTACAATATCAGGAGGGAAAAAGTACCACAATCTGAGCTCAGTCAGATTTTTGAAATTATTTTTAGGTTTTAGAGGGCAGTATAGATAACATTTGAGAGAAAACTAGCTGGAAAGAAGAAATTTTAGTCACAGTTTACTCTACATCAATTTCTTCTTGTAGTTTGTTTGGGGGAGTGACTCAGACCCAGTCAAAAGCAGCACTCCTGATTTGGGCAATGAAGCCAGAGAGAGTTGTGGGGAAAGGTCCATGTCCCTTCCAGTTTCCAGTGTAAAGTTTAAAACCAGGAAGCATAACCAAGATTAGGAAGTTAATATAGCTATAATATATTAAGGTCATGGATTCATTAAATGAACTCTTCCTCTGCATATTTCTCTGGTCATTTCTGAATCATCTGGAAGTTTCTTCTGGTATGTATTACACACAAACAAACCAGCTATCCTCGTCTGCCCTTCACCTCAGCCATCTGTCCTCTCTGCTCTCCTTTTTCATCAGGATAGTTTCATATTTAGAGCCACAAACAAAGAGAAGTAAAGGAGCTGATTCACAAACCTGCCCGAAATCTGATGCAGATCCCTGGCAAGCAGCATGGTGGGATGATCTGTAACAGCACAAAATTCACTGTATCACCTGACAGCACTCGAGAGAGCTCCCACTTCCAAAGCAAACCTGTCAGGATGGCATTGCCTTGGAAGACAAGAGGAAGACCCTTTGCAGAGCTGCCATGCTGCAGGTGGGACAAGGCCACCTCCAGACTAGAATGTCTCTGGGTGATACTCAAATCCCCTGCTCTCAGGTGTCACAGTGCAGGTGTCTGCACATGCACTTGCTCTCTGGATCCCATACTGCTGATGGAAGGGTGATCAGCACCCCTAGGGGGTGACCAGCCCACAGGAATATTTAGAGGATGCCTGATACCCTTGCCCATCCCTCTGCACCGACTGAGGGGGTTGGAAACCAGCTAAATGTAGATGTTCACACTGCTGCTGGGGGAGAGGAGTCCCACCCTTGAGGTCCACTGGCATCGTGAGAGGAGCTCTGAGGCCAAGCAGGGTGACCTTGGCTGCTCCCCACCCATGGGCAGGTTGTGGCTGATGTGTAGGATGAGCCAGCTGTGGATAGTCTGGGCTGAGCTTGGTGGAATGGGCAGAGTCCACGAGACCATGAGATCACAAGTCCATGAGACCAGAAGTCCAGGTTGAAAGTGCACAGGATCCCTGTCCTGGGATATTCTGGAGCTCAGGATGAGCAGATCCAGCGTTGCGTTTATCAGGAGGACCTGACTGTGCTTGAGCTTGACTCTGCCTGGTGGGTCTTGCTCAAACTTCACGCCAGCTGGGTAAACAGCAATATCTGGGTTGACTTACATGGAACTACGATTTCTTTTGTCAGAACTCTCTGACAATCTAATTTAGCAAAGTATTTAAGTATGTGCATAAGGCTGTCCTGTTTGTTCGAAGCCACCTGAGTGTGTGCAGGCAGTTTGCTATAACCTGTCACACACAGCACTGCTGGAAATGCTTTCCTAACAAAGAATCCCTAATTTGAGACATTTAGGAATTAAATCATTGTAAAACCACCCCCTCCAACCCCTTCCCCCCCAAAACCATATAAGAAGGTAGCAGTGAGAGGAGGTGATATAGAACTGTCTGGACATGTTTATAGGCTATATATTGTGTGTTGTTATTGCAGTTCTTCTACAATATAAGCTAGCAATTAGCAATTAAATTTCCATTATGGGATCATGTTGGAAATTGAGATAAACTGTAAGTGTGTAACTGTTTTAAACCTTTCTTTTAACTAACTC